TGAAAAGAGCACTCTCAAGATCGACATTCGCATAAGGAGGATTCTTCAGATAGAGGTTCTCGAAAGGATGATGAAGGTTCGAGAAGGGATACAGGTTCGCGAGATGGATGAGTCGCAGAGGCCTAGCACCAATATTCAGGAGACTTTGGATCAGCAGCAGACTTCATCTTCCCAGACTCAGAGGTTACAGCATGGATTGCCAGCTGGTTGAACTTGGAGTCTCCTTCTAAGGATAAAGATGAAGTCTACTTATAGGATGTGCGTAACGATCTACTTTTGAACTCACAATACCATCCCTCCCGATTGAACCTATATCCAAGGTACCCTCTAATCCCACGCGACAGCTTTCAATTTTAAAGCATCCAAGTACCAGAGTCAGCATCTACCATCATTTAATGTGAAGAGATTCCCCTTACATCATATGGATCCATTTACAAAGGCTTTCTGGATGGATGATAACATAAAGTTACTCAACGACTCACGAAAAAAGATGTATAAAGTGGAAGATGAAAAGCTATGTCAACTTGATACTGCTACAAGGAGATCCTTCTTCAGGTTGGCCAGGTCCAGAGCCATCAATGAAGCATTGATCAATAAATTTCAGAACTCCAGTTCGGAAGAGGATAGAATGATATATTCAGCCCTCATAACACAGAAGAAGGACCAATACTTTTTATCGGACCATCTGGCATCTATATTTGCAGGTCTCACTTTACTATGCAGACAAGGGCTACGTGCATCCTGTTCATGGAGTGATAGATTCACCCAACTGCTACTGAGAGCTTGATGGGTGGTGCCTACTATCTTCGGAGGACAAATAAAGGATGCAGCTGAGGAAGCTATGCATGACTCTAGAGAAGTTATGATGATAAAATCCATAGATACTCTTGCCAACGTCATCCGTCATACTTCGCAAAAGTATAACAGCAAGTCCAAATATTCTGGCATACAGAAGGCAAAGGAGAAGTACCCCAGCTTCAGAGGCAGCAAAGGATCTCCCATCCAGAAATTATAGATGAAACTCAGGGAGAGGCTGCACTCCCAGAGGATCCAGAGGAACTAGACGTTGATATCAAGGTTCGGAACGACTGGAGTCTTCCACCCCCAGCCGTTCCTGTAAAACCGTCGACAGTGGGTGGAATACTAAAGGACGACTATGTCTCCCAAGTACTAAGAGAAGGATACAGAGTACAACTCAAGGCCACACCTCCGCTAACCCTCAGCGGTCTTCAACTATGCAGAGGAACAGGCAGACAAACTACAAGAAGCCATCGACAGACTACTTATGAAGGAGGCGGTAGAGATAATAGATCAGCATCATCTCACTCCAGGCTTCTATTCCCCAATTTTTCTAGTACACAAGCAGAACTCCAAGGAGAAGTTCAGACTGATTTACAACATGCAAAAAATTCAACAAAGACTATCTACTGAAACCAGAGAGGTTCAGAATGATCCACCTACCTCAGCTCAGACGACTTGTCCGTGCAGCAGATTACATGGCCACCATAGACCTGCAGGATGCGTATCTACACATTCCCATACATCCGGAATCAAGAAAGTATCTACGATTCCTATTCAGAGGGCAGCACTTCCAATGGAACGTGCTACCGTTTGGAATATCTTCAGCTCCGTGGCTATTCACACGAGTAACCAAGCCTATTGTCGCATATCTACATTATCGAGGTCTACGCAATGCCTTCTACTTGGACGACGGAATTCAGGTCCACCAAGATACCAGTCTACTCAGACTACAGCTGAACTTCACGATCAAGTTGCTCACTCATCTAGGATGGTTGGTGAACCTTATGAAGTCAGAGTTGGAACCAAAACAAGATCTGTAATTTCTGGGGATAATGTTTATCACAACACAGAATCGTATTGTCGTCCCAGAAGATCGTTGGGTCAAGATACAAGCCATGATTCCACCAGCAGTCAATTCTCTCCATTAACACTATGATCATGGCAAGTTCTACTCGGTCTGCTAACCTCGGCGCAGGACTTGACTCGCTAAACGGTTCCTGACAAAACTTCTAGACAGCGTCGACCCTATTTTGCTGCCAGACAACCTCAAGAGGTATCTACTGTGGTGGACGCACAGGTCGAACGTTTGCGGAGGGACCTATTTACAAGAGCTGGCTTTTGACACACATCTCTACGCAGACGCTGCGGTGCAGGGCTGGGGTGCGCATCTCAACAATCAAGTTGCATCAGGAAGTTGGTCCAAAATAGAGCAGCATCTTCACATCAATCTGCTGGAGATGAAAGCCGTGATCAACGCCTTACAACTATTGTCGAGCTCGCTGAACAACAGAATGCTGATGGTCCACACGGAAAACTCTACAGTGGCATTCTCCATAAATCGGCAAGGATCCACAAGGTCTCCAAGCCTGCTAAAGCTCACATTCCAGTTGTTCCACATCACGGAGAAAGCAAACATCTGGATAAAGGCTATGTCACATACCCGGAGCTAAGAACGTACTTGCAGACGCTCTTCCTAATTCACTGCACCCGTCACCTACAGAATGGATACTCCATCCAGAAGCATTTCGGCTCATCATAAGGGAAATAGGATCCCCTTGCACAGACCTGTTTGCCATGAGGTTCAACAAACAACTACAAACGTTTATCTCACCGGTTCCAGATCCTCAAGCCTGGGCAACAGATGCACTGAGCATATCTTAGGAAGGACTAAACGCTTACGAGATATTACTTCAAGAAGTACTGTTGAAGATCAAACAGACACAGGTGCTACAACTGACTTTGGTCGCCTACTGGCCAGCAGATAGAAGAATGCTGGTTCCCTAGACCAATAGAAGATCTCGAAGTCAAGCAATCCAAGTTACCAGATTGGCCGAACCTACTCATACATCCACACACCAAGCAAGTCCACGGGAACCCGACAGTGTTCCAGCTACACGTGTGAACCGTATCAAAACATGTATGAAGAAAAGAGGATACTCCGCCAGGGCAGCCAAGGCAGTAACGCTAGCGTTACGCAGATCTACTTGTAACCTGTATGATGACAAATGGCTGAAGTTTGAGACTTATGCAAGGTGGAAAGGCTTCACTGCGATGAAAGCTACTCTTCCTCAAGTGGCGGAATATGTGTCATCTTACTGACTGACTGACTGAGTTTCGTTTTACGCCGCTTTTAGCAATATTCCAGCAACATCACGGCGGGGGACACCAGAAATGGGCTTCACACATTGTACCCATGTGGGGATTCGAACCCGGGGCTTCGCCGTGACGAGCCAACGCTTTAACCTCTAGGCTACCCCACTGCCCCTGTGTCATCTTAGACAGACTAGACATCTGAAAGGTTCGACATTATCTACGTACCTCGCCGCCATCAGTACAGTTATTACCATGAAAACAGGCATCATGTTGACGAAAGTACCAGAATGACTTGCTCTGCTGAGATCTTTTAAACTGGAGAACCAGCAAAAGAAGTTCAGAGCTCCAGCCTGGGATCTGAATGTAATTCTACGTCATCTTACAAGTGATGCCTACAAACCTCTAGACCAGACTACCCTCGAGCTGCTGATACAGAAGACTCTGTTCCTGCTTGCGCTAGCCACGGCAGCTCGAATATCAGAGATACATGCGCTGGACTTTGGTTGAACCAGATTTGACATTGGGGCAACATGCTGCAGTTCATCTAGGACTTAGATGGGACTTCATTGCCAAGAACCAACTACATGGTCAGCCAGATAGACAGTTCCACGTACCAGCGCTATCTACAATACTCTGGTCAAAGGATATAAGAGACCTATCCTTGTGTCTCGTCAGATCCCTGAAGATATATCTTTAAAAGACTGAGACAAGGAGACAAAAATTCAAACGCCTCCTAGAGCTTCCAATTCACACGAAGTCAGAGCACTGGCTCTGCACGGAAATTGCTCTATACCAGCAATTATGGAGGGCTGCTTTTGGAAGTCGGACACAGTGTTTGCCAACCACTACCTCCAAGACATAGCCACTGATTGGCATTCACCAATTTTGGCCTCTCTTTGAGGAACTAACGGTTCCTAAACGGCGCTGAGTTGTAAAATCACACCCTTTATCACGTTGACCTGTTGACAACTTTTACTAAGGAAAAAGTATTAGTTTGAAAGTCCATGCGCACAGTCTAGCACAGGCTAGCATGAGTGATTAAAGATCCTGTACGGGTAAAGATCTTACCTGTACGTGAAGGGGTCGCAACTCATTTATGATAAAGATCTTATCATAATCTATGAGTTGTTATGAGATATCTAGTAATAAGAAGAAACTAGTTTATCTGTAGCCACATGAATCAGCATGATTCAAATTGTCTGAGACTGAAGTAAGACAAGAAAGTGGTCCCCCCGAGTTATGACGCAAGTTGGAAGAATAGGATTACGGAAATGCTGTTTTGCAATTCCCATGGGGGGATACAAGACGTATCTAAGGACAGTTGATGAATCCATGAAGTGGCTTAACCCACTACCAATCCGTCGGATTCTATAAGCAAAAGATCATGAGTCAGGATAAGAAAAAATATGTAATTTTTCAAGTAAAATTGATATTTTTATACTTATCCTGACTCATGATGAGAAGCCCTCCCAACCACCCCGCTGAAGACACTTTGGATTTCACAGCAAATCCAAGTGCATGGGCAGAAATTCAGGAGAGAGTGGCAAGTAAGGCTGGTCACATGACTGTTTGCGCGGGAAAAGGGCAAAAGGGAGGTAACTCATTGTCGAGTGTATTTTTACGTCCGCTTTGGGAACTTCAAGGAATTCAAGTGTTCCACTACAATTCGAAAAGGAAGGGGAGATAAGCAAAAGATCATGAGTCAGGATAAGTATAAAAATATCAATTTTACTTGAAAAATTACATTATATAAGGAGACAGTTCACTGTTTTAGTTCTTAATGTATTCACACTAATGTGTTCAGTGTCTTGTGAAAAATGAATAAGTCACCATGATGCAGTTTAGGAAGAGTTTATGTTATGACATTGTTCTGTGTTTTGTTGTAGGAAGCAAAGATTCAAGATCTAGAGGCCAAGTTCAGCATTTCTGTTGACTATAACCGTTCAAGAGGAAGGGTTAAACTTCAAGGTCTTACAAATGATGTCATCACAGCCATGGAGGCAGTACACAAGATTGTACAGGAGGCTCTTCGTGAGGAACAGCAATCTGAGAAGGCCGAGATGTTGTCATCCTACGTTCAGTGGTCATACATTGAAGTAGATATTACAGGCTCATCACAACCAGTAGAATATGATAAGATCATAAATCAACAAATTGAAGAAGCTTATCAAAACAAGAAGCCTTTTATACGTCTGCCTCTTGACACTGATGGGAAGATCTATGTTGTTGATTTAAACAACATGGAAGAATATGATTCAGATGTTCCCAGTGATAAAGTCTCTGTGATCAGAAAAGATCTAATCAAAGGTTTGTTAGTTTCTCAGCCTCAGTGACCGCACCTGGTCAACAACTGGCCTAACTGTATTGAATAAATCTGGGAATATTGACCCAATATTGACGAAGTCAAACATCACACATCAATAACTGCAATGTTAGGGGTTTCAGACGTCACTGACAATAAATACATCCAGTATGGGCTAATGTGAAACAAATTTCATTGGAAAAGATAAATTTGATAGTTGGCTGAATTGTTGAGTTCTGAAAAGGCCCGAGATATCATCTACTATAATCAGACAAATTAGGTTTACGTACAGGTTACACGTTAATATGAAATATGCTGTGATTACATAAATGTAAGGCTGTAAGTCTTACTCAGACGTTATCCAAAAAGATGCTTCGACAAACAAAAACTGTATAGCCTGAACACATTCAGCATAATTGTGAAAAATTGTGTGCCTGTTGACATATATCTATGATCTTCAGGAGCATCGTTTGAGCCTCCTCCCAACTGGACACAAATGACAACGGAAAGTGAAATGGTACCACTTAACAATACAGCTCCGGAGTACACAGATGTTCAACAGAAATTTCACGGCAGCCTTGGAAGACCTGCCAACATTTTGAAGGTTATTTACTGCATTGTTCATAAAAATAATTGACACTTGGTGCATGACTTTCTTAGGGTAGGGCCAAGATTAAAGGTGGTCCTGAGTGACCGTCTTATAAGATCAAAGTGACAGTGAATGTTTCAGTATGCTAGCTTTTTTCACTTAGATACCTGCAGATTATTTTAGAAATGTTATATTGTTTGACTATGTATACAGTACAAGAGACGTCAAGCTTATGTTCATTGGTTTAGGTATATATGACCTGCTTTTAATGTGAAACGTGGACAGTTTGTTACTGATATGTTCAGTTTTACACTGATAATTATTTGAAGTGAATGATCATTATGATTATATTTTAAATGTTTCTTGGCACCATGGGTTTTACCAGAGTGGTTAATGTCTGAGATCATCATTAGTGCTGCCGTTCCTTCCATGTTTAGCTGACACTCTGAGATATCACTAGATGTCTGTTCAAACCAGCAGTACACCCCAATCACTCACAGTAGTAGGATAAGGAATCATATTATCCTCTGGACTAGACATTAAATGGGTTTCCTCACTGAAGGTAAAGTCACTGGAATTGTCATTTGGGAGTTTCTTTGTTTGTGGAGCCAAACTTCTTGTGTTTTCAGAATGCAGCGAATGATTTTAGCTCAATGCGAGTGTATGGTCATTATGCAGGATGTACTAATTGCTTTCTTATTAATATAGCTAAAGCAATATGGATGTCTGTTTAAAATGCTGATATGAACGGTGTGTATTTCCCCACCCTGAGATATCACAGGGATATTGCTCAGAGCAGCAGTAGAGGTTCATGTGCCACAAACCCATTCTAATATGTTTTGGAAAAACACAAACAATGGCACTGTGAATATATGAATTACTTTGCAGATTATTTGAATTTGTCTAGTACCCTCTTCTTCCCAAGAGCTGTTTCCTTCTTGGTACAGAGTTTTGTTGATCTGATTTCGTGTAATACATGTAGGGCTTCAATGAGTCTTTTTTCTTGGACTCGAGTACTCGATAGGTCAAGCTCGACTCAGACCTGAGTACAAAGTCTCAAATGATATATAATATCAGATTTTAATGGCCGCTCATGCTTAGCACATGGCAGGCAGACAGACTGACAACGTAACCCAATTAAAGAAAACCAAATGCTTCTCAAAGAAGTAACCCAATTAGAGTTATAACCCCTTATCGAGTCCTGGAGACCTAGAAAATGGACTCGAGTCCAGTTAAACCTGACTCTTACTCAAGTACCCAGGGAGCCCCTAAATACAACCCCAATATATTTTTATGGAAACGAATAAGGGAACACATGAAAGTACAAGTGTTCCTTTATATACTTTCATGTGTTCCCTCATTCGTTTCCATGGGTATATACAACCTTTGAAGAAGAGGTTTGTTGAATGTTTAAGGTTGTCCTGTTCTCAGCCAGTTGTGTGCGATTCAAGGTAGGGAGGGTGTTGTTGCAGATGTGCATGTTTCTATTCACCTTCGTGTGGATGTCATGCAATGTGTTATTCCTGAAAACCTAATAATGTGCAGTATTTCCTTTGTCTGACAGATTGAACGTGTACAGACCAAGTTCCTGTGGCAGCAGTATGTTGCGAAGAAACGCCAGTTGGACTCACAGAACCAAGGTCAAACAAATGAGACTGTGTTGTGGCATGGCACTGCTGTAGACGCCATTCCCAGTATCTGTAAAGGTGGCTTTAATCGCAGCTACTGTGGAAAGAATGGTAAGTTCCAACTAGGAGGTCATTCACGACATGATTAAGCTACATATGCTATATTCTCACCTCTCTTGAACACAAGCTTCAGATTAGCTACATGTGGAACAAAGCCTGTAGTCCTTCCCCCATCCAAATTTCTGTCCATCTGCCTGTTACTGACAGGAACATTTTCTTAGCATATCATGAATTTAAGACATGAAACACCTGGACAGTGCAGAAACTTTACATGGATGAAAGCAGTGGGTGAGTATGGCAATATCACCATGCCAGCCTCCTATCTCACAGTATGCACCTCTCTTCTTCTTCTACGACCATGTGTGGACAACGTGCTGTAGGCTAAGTTGAATCAAAACTTCCTGGCCTTCCTGCCCCCACTCCGATAGCAGTACCTGTCAATCATCTCAATAAGCGTGCAGATTGCTCAGATGATCACGTGATGTTCTGTGCCGGTCATTCTCTTTCTTGTAGCCACGACGTGTGGATGTGTGCTGATTCTTAATGAGATTTTGACTGTGTTCAATATGGGTAAATCTCGTCGCAGTGCTTCTAATAAACACAAACATTGCAACAAGTGTAATAGTAACTTTTCAGCTGGGGACCCACATGCATGGTGTGTGGATTGTTTGGAATGTTGCGATTGGTCGCACCGTTGTACATACTGTGATCAACTTGATGATGATGCTTGTTCAGAATATCGCCGGGTAGCTTCCCGACGTTTTACTGACAGGGATCACCGTAAACCCTCAGAGGGTCCTTCCTCATGTAAACGTTCGAAATCTTACCTCCAGAGCGCCGCTTGCTTTCACTGCGCCGCTTGCTCCTGGTTTGGCGCTTACTGTCGGAGTGCCTATTGCCTCCTATGCGCCGCTTGCTCGCGGTTCGTCGCTTACAGTCGGAGCGCCGCTTGCTTCTTATAAGCCGCTTGCTCCCGGTTCGGCGCTTACTGTCGGAGCGCCGTTTACTTCCAATGTGCCACTTGATCCCTGTTCCGCATTTACTGTCGGAGCACCGCTTGCTTCCATTGCGTCGCTTGGTCCTGGTTCAGCAATTCCTGTCTGAGCGTCTCTTGCTTCCAGTGTAACGCTTACTTCCAATATACCACAGTCTTCCAGTGTGCTGCTTTCTCTTGGTTCAACGTTTGCCTTTGCCAGGTCATCCACCCATGCCAGCCTCTGATTCTACTTTGCCTCCTACTTGTGGCCTCTGCTTTACGTCAGCAAGTCCCAGCTCCATCCTCGACTGTTCAGCCAGCTGGCCCTCCGACCGTTCCTCAATCGGTTTACGCCCTCTCCTACTTCAGATGACACTTCGGCTTCAGATGTTAGCATTGATGCCGTTGACACACCTCAGTTACTGGTTTGGATTGCTGATAACCTTCGCCTACCTCGTAGCAGTTCACCTATGGACTTGTTGACTAGCTTTGATATGAAACCGGGTGATTTCGGCTCTATCACCTTTCCACCTCGTCCCTGCATTACTCAACTTGCGACTTCTCGTGACGAGGCATTTGACAACTTAAGGAAGGTTAAGGATGGGTTTGCGGCACCTCGCTTTAACTTGGCGGCTTCCCATGTTCATGGGTTTTTACGTTGATTGTCTCGCCTTCTGTGGATGATGACATCGCACTTTTGGGATCTAAACAGAGAGTCTATTTTCCCTTTCTGGTTGAGGACCGTGAGTTGCCGCACCTGTATGGCGCCATTCGGAGGATCTTAGCTCCCCTCAACTTGGTTTTGACGGCAATTGAAGCTGTGGCTATGTCTGTCTGCGGCTTCCCCTCAACAGGCTTATATTAGGGCTTCAATGATGTTGTTACAGGAGCAGTTCCAGACCACCTTGGATCAGCTGGCCCATTTTTTCTCCTACCTCACGGCGCAGGGGCCCGCTTCACTTATCTTTGTGGGAGGATAGATTTCGGACAGATCATTTCCGTCAACCTTAGTCGGGCAAATCACTCTTTAATGGGGCTATAAGAGATATAGCCGTAAAGGTTGGGCTGGATGCTCATTTGCAGGTCTCTGCCTCCCAATCGTACCTATCAAGGCTTGCCTAGTAGGCGGAAGACTTGGGATTTATGCCCTCAGTTGGACCATCTTGGACGACCCTTACGTTCTCTCCACTTTGTTCAAGGGGGTTTCAACTTCAGGCATCAGCAACCCTCCTCTCACATTATTTCTGGAGCACAGGACGTATCCCGCTCGTCAAACAACTGTGCTACGATCCACCATAGCTACGCTTCTTCAGAAACTCCAGCCGACCCAGGGTTTTACTCTCCAATCTTTCTGGTTCTGAAAAAGGATTCCAACAAATTGAGACTCATCTTCAACATGAAGGTCTTCAACGAGATGTTCCTACAACCACTGCCTCATTTCCGTATGGTGTTGGTGGCTCTACTCAAGACTGTCATCAAGCCTGGAGATTACATGGTCAGCCTAGACCTTCAGGATGCGTACCTTCACATTCCGATCTTCCCGGACCATCGCAAGTTTCTTCGTTTCGTCTTCGAGGGCACCCAGTATCATTTGCGGGTACTCCCGTTTGGAATTTCTTCTGCTCCGTGGCTATTTAACGGGTGACGAAGCCCATCACCAGCTTCCTCCATTGCAAGGGGATACCGTTCGAAACTTACATCGACGACTGTATCCAGGCTCAGGCCGACCGTGCACTCCTCCTACGTCACCTTGGGTTCATGATGTGTGAAATGTGTGAAGCCCATTTCTGGTGTCCCCTGCCGTGATTTTGCTGTAATATTGCTAAAAGCGGCGTAAAACCATACTCACTCACGATGCAGCTACTTCACCAGTTATGCTGGCTTGTCAACATGGAGAAGTCGGAGCTAGTCCCTTCACGCCGCCTGCAGTTTATCGGGGCGGTGTTCAACACAGATCTCAATAGACTGTTTGTGCTGAGGGACCTTTTCTACAAGATCCGGCAATTAGTTCCCCTTCCGTTGTCTCAATCCAGGACTCTTCGTCAATGGCAGGAGCTCCGGGGTCTCTTGAAGTCGGACGAGGCATTGACCCTCAGGGGTCAACTTCAGCTTCGACCGTTGCAGTTATTCCTGGCTCCACACATCAGGGTGGGCAACCCGCTTTCCATGATCACGTTACCTCCGGCGCTCTTTCCCCATCTTCTCTGGTGGATGGAAGAGTTGAACGTCTGTGGCAGAGTCTGCTTAAGGCCGTTCATCCCGACTAACCACCTGTACATGGACGCATCTCCACACGGGTGGCACATCAACCGGATGTGGTCAACAGGGTCTCCTCAACCCCTGCAGTGGATACAACGGTTCTTCCAGTTGGTGGACGATCTCGACATCTCCGTTCGAGCCAACCATATTCCAGGAGTGAAGAACGTGATTGCGGATTCTCTGTCCCAGCTGCTTCATCCCTCCCCGACAGAGTGGAAACTACATCCAAAGGTGTTCCAGACCGTCTGCCTTCCGCTGACGACTCCGACAGTAGATCTGTTCAACCACCAGTTGCCTCTGTTCGTGTCTCTCATTCCGGACCCTCTGGCCTGGGGTCTCGACGCTCTAGCTATTCCTTGGGACAACCTAAATGCGTACGCGTTTCCGCCAGTGGCCCTACTGCCACACATACTACTGAAACTGCGCACGACTCAGCGGATGACACTTCTTTTGGTCGTGCCCTGTTGGCCGGCCAGAGGGTGGTTCGTCGATATACAAGAACTGGCCAGATCCTGTACCACTTTCCAAACGCATGATCTTACGCTCTGATGATTAGCTGATTGGTCTACAGTCACCTACCTGGCTCTCTTAACACCCTTAATCCGACACTTGTGGTTGCAGAGAATAAACTATGTGGGATTACCGCCAACTTGGGATCTTTCTGTTGTGCTTAATCAAAATGTTTGGAGATTAATGTATTTTTCTCTTGCGGGCACTGCCCTCAAATATCAATGTTTACTAAATGTCATGATCCAACTACAGTCATCCGACACTGTTGCATGCATATCAGAAATGGTACTAAATGTCATCTAGTTATCTTCATGGTAGATCTAGTTATGTAAAAATATTCACAGAAATAAAAAATACTAACAATACATACTTGTTTTCATTTATTAACATTCATAGATGGCATAACATACATATATAATCACATAAGCGAACAGTTTCATATCTATTTCATGACCACATTGGCACAAAACTCACGTTTGTTTTAACCGCATATCAGCTGCCATTATGACCCGGATGTTGAATATGTTACGGTTTCCATACAACTAATTCCATAATAACATGTGGACGTCTAATGTACAATCAGGCGTGTATCATAACATATATAATTTATAACTTGAAAAAGTCTTTGATGGTCATTAACATCAAACACGTCTAAGTGGTGTGTCAGAAATGTTTGCAAAGTGTTCAGCGATGTTTTGGCCTCAGATAGCTTGAAGCATTGGAACCAGTCGTTAGAGGCGGCTCAACCACTAAGCAGACTGCTTCAGGATGTCGAATCACGGTTGATCGTCAATCTTCACATCAAACTTCTGCTCAGCAAAAGTGATGACTTCTTGTTGTGTTGTCTGGGGTTTGTCTTTCTTCAAAAGGAGATTTCTTTCTTGATCAATGGCGTAACTTCTACAAGGGGTAAACAGCTTAGCAGGTGGTGTACTTTCGTGACAAACATCTTGTAATGAAAACTCATGTCGGTTGTAAACATTTTATACAGCTCTACTGTTATTTCTTGATTAAATCGTCTCAATTAATTATCCTGTGTTCCTAATTAACAAGTGTGATGTTCACTGGCGCGGTGTCAAGCAGCCAGTAAGGCTGCACGCTAATTACCACTCCGCGTGTGATTGTTTGTATCTGGTCGGATCATCCGACCCGGCTGTGTTGATTAACCGGATTAGCGAATGTTTTACAATGTATTTACAATAATCAGCTGCTAGATTGGTGTGTGAATCGGAATCGCGAGAATGTCGGATAAACGAGTAATTATCACTGTTTTAAATGGTTCCCTAATTTTTGTCCGGATTAACGTGATTGTCCGGATTAGCGAGTGTCGGATTAGCGAGCTGACTGTACTCTTCATCCCGTTGTCTGTTGCCTCCACCTCGGAAGTCTCGCTCACCACTTTGGCTTTTGGTTGAGGTCCACTATCCTGCTATCCTATGCCTATGCCGACCTTCTTCCATCTTCGACTGCGAATCCTCATGAAACTTGGGCTCTAGCTTCCACCATGGCGCTTCATAGGAACTGTTCCCTCCAGGAGGGATGTTTTTGGAAGTCAGATACCGTTTTCGCCTCACACTATCTTCGGGATCTCTCGGTCATGGACGTGGAGGGCTTGCACCAGTTCGGTCCTCTGGTCCTAGCTCAGCAGCTGTCATCGACTTGTGCTCGCAGATGAGAAGCAGTTCTTCCGCCTGTCGGTTTTGCTTTCTGTACCTAATAAAAGATATCAATGTCATCTTTATCTTTGTACCTTTATCTTAGACCACCTCACCTAGGGAACTAGGGCGTGTCTGCACTGTCATAGGTATGACTCAATAGACTGAGAGGCCAGTCTTGTGCTACAAACAGATGTGGTCGACACTCTGCTTACTGACCTCTATTCTCTGAGCAATTACGTCAGTGAAGTGTTGATTACCTGCATGGTTTCTTCCTTTCTTCCTTTGGTAAGTTAGGGGGATTGGTACTGAACGTTGAACCAGTTGAGCGACCGGGCTATTCCCTCTTTCACCGCCTTCCAGCGTGTGTCTGTGGGGGGTAGTTTCGAAGCAGGGACTGTCCAGATTAAGGTCTTCGACTTTAATTCACTGGGTTCACTTGATAAATCGCAGGGAGGCAGGGTCTACTTGCCAAACTGCGTCTTTTTGCTTGTCAAAAGTTGCGGCTGAAAACCACTGAAAAATTCGGAACCGACCAATCCCCAGAGTTTTTGTGCTGTGTAAGCTAAGGGGTTATCAGAAGCAACCCATCACAAGTTCGGAGTTAGCATATCGGGAGTTGGTGCTTTCTCCTGGCCTCCTTGTGTTATGCGACCTCACGGTTGTAGAGTTGACACAGGGTAATCTGCGGCCCACCTGCCAACCGTGGGATAATGCATACCATGAGATAGGATAAGTTTTAAAATTTGGAAATTTTACTATAAATTGTATATTTATATGCTTATCCTATCTCACGTGATGGATACCCACCCGACCTGCCCCACATCACAGATTACTGGAGGCTCCAAGACGAGAATGACTGGCACAGAGCGTCACGTGATCATCTGAGCGATCTGCACGCTTATTGAGATGATTGACAGGTACTGCTATCGGAGTGGGGGCAGGAAGGCCAGGAAGTTTTGATTCAACTTAGCCTACAGCACGTTGTCCACACATGGTCGTAGAAGAAGAAGAGAGGTGCATACTGTGAGATAGGAGGCTGGCATGGTGATATTGCCATACTCACCCACTGCTTTCATCCATGTAAAGTTTCTGCACTGTCCAGGTGTTTCATGTCTTAAATTCATGATATGCTAAGAAAATGTTCCTGTCAGTAACAGGCAGATGGACAGAAATTTGGATGGGGGAAGGACTACAGGCTTTGTTCCACATGTAGCTAATCTGAAGCTTGTGTTCAAGAGAGGTCAGGAAGGCCAGGAAGTTTTGATTCAACTTAGCCTACAGCATGTTTCCACACATTGTCGTAGAAGAAGAGAGGTGCATACCATGATGTAGGATAAGTATATAAATGTACAATTTATTGTAAAGTTTCCAATTTTGGGGACACCAGAAATTGAATGAAATCAGCAATGGCCTCTGAGAAACTTGCTAACAGTATTATCTATGCCTGGATTTTCACTTGCGTCCATTTGTCCATGGCCATCACTACTTTTGACTACTGTCATCCCTTGTTAAGCATCCAGCTCTGTTATCGTATCACTTTTGTTGTTATTCCTATGGCCTTTCCTGTCTGTCTGTTTGTCAATGATCATATTGTTTTCGGAGCATAACTGAAAAAACGTTCTATAATGTTATATGTTATTGTTTTGATAACTCAATAGTTATTCTTGTATACAGATGGACACTGTAGAAATTCTCTCATCAAGCTGGACTTCAAGTAACTGTCAGATGATTTGTTGGGTTTTTTTCAAATTTTTAAGGGCTTGATGGTGATTTGTCATCTTCTGATCACTCTTGGTTTCAAATGAATATCGCTATCTGCTATATATATACCCTGAAATGTCATGCTCTTCATATTACAAAAGTTCACATCTATAAAATCTTCCCCTATTACATCTGTATAATGAATGTTTCTCTTTGTTCAGCCACTGCACATGGAGAGGGTGTATACTTTGCAGTCCAGGCTTCATATTCAGACAGAAATACTTACTCTGTGCCTGACATTCAAGGTCACAAGCACATGTTTCAAGCCCGTGTGCTGACCGGGATGTACTGTCGAGGACAAGGTGGGATTAGAGTACCTCCACAAAGAGATGCATCCAATCACATCCAGTATGATTCTGTGGTAGACAATACTGGTAGACCTGGAATGTACATCATCTTTAATGATACCCAGGCCTATCCAGAATATCTTATCACTTACCAGTGAAGTCAATGTCCTTTCTTTCAAATGGTATTTAGTGAGAGTCTCTTGTCACCTTGTGAGGTAGATGTATAGATATATTCGACTTGATATAGATATATTTAACTTGAGGTGATGTAATTCATGACATGTATGAAATCATGGTATCTTGTTTAAATCAATTGTCAGTTAGAATTGTTCTTGTGATCATATTATTTTGGAGGTACCTGATGGCTTGTAATTAACATGATTGGGGTCTGTCAGTTGGTTAGATTGTAACCTCCTTCAGATCTTTAAGTGAAGGGATGATGCCATATTTTGAAACAATATCCAATGTATTGTGTTTTAGTAACTTATGGATTCTTCGACTACACAATGCCATTTAGAAAGTGGTTAAATGTAACATATGTTATATTTGGGATTACACTTTCTTTGTAAAGTACAAATTCTAGTACTTTTTGGGTTGAGTCAGACTCAGGCATCGAACCGCGGATGACTTTGTGTGCTGGCGATTAGGTGCCTGACTCTGAGGGTGCAGGTTTAAATCCCAAATGGGACTCAACCCAAAAAGTACTAGAACCTGCACTTTACTAAGAAAGTGTAACTCCAAATATAACATGTTATGTTATGGATTCTTGGTACGAATTAGACCCTAGTACAAGTCAACTAGAGGGATCGGGTAGTCAGACTCCCAGACTTGATGTGGTGGGTTGTGTGTCCTGGTTCAACAACACCAGGCAAAGGTCATTTATTTTCGTGTTGCTCATCATTGGATTGTTCGTTACAGGCTCAGGTGCTTAAAGATGCTATCTTGCACCTAGATTTAATATTACTGAGTACAGTATTAACCACCAAAGTAGCATCAGCTGTTACAGAAATGTTTGTATTCATGAACACTCATGTGAAAAATCAATCATTTTTAGTGTAATGTTTTCCTTGAGTAGAGAATCTGAAGTAAATCTTACTTCTTAGGGTATGTTACGGTATCATCCGTTATGTTCAGCCATTACAAATTAAAGCTATTTAAAATTGCTGCATGTTATAGCTTGTAACATCATTGTTAGATGAACAGCCATAGAAACTTTCAGATAAGTTTCAACATTTTAAATGGATGTGAATTGTTTGTAGGAATGTGCATTTGAAATAGTGTTGGCTTTGTAGCCAGGCATGTTCCATGTTGTCAACTTAGATCATGTATGCATGAACAGGCTTCTATCAACAATATTGAGTTATGACTATTTATCCAGAAATACCATTCCCAAAAGATGAAAAGAATATTCTTTATCTGGGTGGCCAGATATGCAACAATTGTACAATAAAGCTATCTGTGCTGTTCTCCTGTAATTGTATCATGAGAAGTGGAAGTGTTATGCATGTCTCCAGGATCACAGTGTGTGGTACTTTTACATTTGAGTATACTAGACATGCATACAGTTGACACTCAAATATTTACATGAATGCAGATAATAGATGGAACTCATATTAAAATACATGCATTTAACAATTAAGTCATGTTAACATGCATACAATTAACAGATCGACACTCATGTCAACATGCATACAATTAACAGATGGAGCTCATGTCAACATGAATACAATTACCAGATGACACTCATGTCAACATGCATACAATTAACAGATGGAACTCATGTTAACATGCATACAATTAACAGATGAAGCTCATGTCAACATGCATACAGTTATCAGATGTAACTCCAGTTAACATGCATAGAGTTAACAGATTACACTCACATTAAAATGCATACAGTTAGCATATTACACTCATGTAAACATGCATACAGTTAACATAATTCTCATGTAAACATCCATACAGTTACCAGGTTGAGCTCATGTAAACATGCATACAGTCAACAGATGACACTTATGGTAACATGCATACAATTATCCGAGCAAACCCATCTTAACAAGAAGACAAAGTCATCAATATACCCCGCAATGGCAAAATACTCTTCATGATTATGTCTACGAGGTATGATTATGTCAAATATTTAGGTGTGTATATAGAAAAGTGGAAGGAGAGTATGGAAAGGTTTTGAAAGTTCTGCTCCAGAAAGGAGCACAACCACCAATTTCAGTCTAAGTCAAACTTGTTGCCATGGAAACGCCAAAAATATTTTATTCAGAATTCCAAAACTAACAAAAGGCACAAGTACACCACCAGATCTATCTATGTGCCAAGTTTGGTGAAGAAATAGTGAACAGTTTTAGAGTTCTGCTCCCGGAAAAGAGCACTACCAGCAATTTCAGTCAAAGTCGAACTTGTTGCCATGGAACCGCAAAAAATATTTAATTCAGAATTCCAAAACTACCAAAAGGCACCAGTACACCACCAGATCCATTCATGTGCCAAGTTTTGTGAAGAAATAGTGAACGGTTTTAGAGTTCTGCTCTGGAAAAGACAAATGTACACGGACGGACGGACGGAGTCCATTTTAATACCCCCCGCAAAACGTGTTGCGGGGGATAACAAGCATACAATTAACATATATATTATGATGGAATAACTAGCATTACAATTGAGTAGAGCTTATAAATAATAGATATCAGATATGTGTTGATGGGAAATACAGCTTTACGGTCAATGTTTGTTACTGGCTTTCACAACAATTAACTGTGAAAAATTGAAATATCAGTGAGTTGGATGATATGACTTTGAGTGGCAAAAAATCTGCTTCAGCAGTACATCATAACAAAAGTGTTCATCTGGAGATGATCTTCTGTACATAAATCATTGATCTGTGATACAAGAGATCAGTGGTAGCACTCCATGGATTTCCACATACTGAGTTGTATTTTCGTATGTTTCTAATTATAGTAACATTTAAAGTTTTGTTCAAACATTTAGTGTCTGCATAACTCCAGTTTCTGTAATGGATATGATTTTGACACTTCATTCCCTTATTTCCACATGAAAAATTCTATGATATGATTTTTGTCATGTCATTCTGTCATTTTATAAGGTAGAGTTTCAAAATACAGTGAAACCTGCCAACACCGGCACCTGTCTAATCTGGCACACTGTCAAACCGGTGTAACAGGCCAAACTTCCCCCTGGCCAAACCTTCCCCGCGGAAACTTTGGTCTAGGACAAACTTTCCACGGGGAATCATTAGCCTTGGCCAAGCTTTACACCCCCTAGGCTTAATCTTCCCTGGGGAAAGTTTGTCCTAGGCCAAACTTTCCCCACCCTTGAATCAACTTTAAAGGCTACATCTTTCCTACCCTTGTTCTTATATCAAAAGGGGGAGATTCTGGCCTAGCTAGGCTATTTCTTCCTCAACCTTGATTTCATGTTTATGTTAGTCTTGAAAAAATCGGAAAGGAAAACAAGACATAGCTATTCATGTGAACACATTGATAAGATATTCATGTTGATGCTAAGTTTCATTAACAATTTACAGGTCATCGTCATCTTCATATATAACATTTACATGGTTCCCATTTTGTTTCAATACCCTTCTATAAGGTGAGATTAAAAAGAAAAGCAATCATAAAAGCAAAGATATTATATCATTACTATTGTTCTATATTATCATTTACTTATATAGATATTTCAATAATTTACTTATCCCCACTTACTCAAAATTGGCTTTTGTCAAAATCATTACTATATTCGAAACTGTAACTAAATACCCAGTTTTTACTTGGATGTCCATATTGATTCAAAATTTTATTCCCTCACTCATGGCTTTAAATATGGCATCCATGTCGGCGACATCAACTTAACAGTTGGAAGCAGATGTAAACATCAACAAAAAATGGACTATTTAGCAAAAATGTACCAACATGTAAGTCAAACCTACTGTTGGTTTATATTGCAAGGGGTTCCCCCGGGGAAGAAGTAGCCTGGCTAAGCCGATATCACCCCCTTTTGATATAAGAACAAGGATGGGGAAGAGGTAGCCTAGCTAGGACAGAATCACCCCCTTTTGATATAAGAACAAGGATGGGGAAGAAGTAGCCTGGCTAGGCCAGAATCTCTCCCCTTTTGATATAAGAGCAAGGGTGGGGAAGAAGTAGCCTGGCTAGGCCAGAATCTCCCCCTTTTTGATATAAGAGCAAGGGTGGGGTAGAAGTAGCCTGGCTAGGCCAGAATCTCCCCTTTTGATATAAGAGCAAGGGTGGGGAAGAAGTAGCCTGGCTAGGCCAGAATCTCCCCCTTTTTGATATAAGAGCAAGGGTGGGGAAGAAGTAGCCTAGCTAGGCCAGAATCTCCCCCTTTTTGATATAAGAGCAAGGGTGGGGTAGAAGTAGCCTGGCTAGGCCAGAATCACCTCCTTTTGATATAAGAGCAAGGGTGGGGTAGAAGTAGCCTGGCTAGGCCAGAATCTCCCCCTTTTTGATATAAGAGCAAGGGTGGGGAAGAAGTAGCCTGGCTAGGCCAGAATCTCCCCCTTTTTGATATAAGAGCAAGGGTGGGGAAGAAGTAGCCTGGCTAGGCCAGAATCTCCCCCTTTTGGAGGGGGGGGAAGGGGGCCTTTAGCCTAGCCCAAACGCTCCCCGGGGAAGAAATAGCCTGCTACACCGGCATAAAATTTTGGTCCCTCCATTTTACAACGATTATGATCATTAAAACATTGTCTAATTTGGCACCTGTCTATTCCGTATTCCGGCACGACTTTCCGGTCCCAAAAAGTGATTTTAACTGTAATTAACACTGTCTACACCGGCATGGGTATGAGCAATCCAATCAAGGACCCATAATCCAATACACTAATACCGGTTGAGACAGGTTTCACTGTAGATGTAATATTTTTAACTTATGATAATTTTTCAATTTAATCTGCTTTTTACTCGATGTTTTCAGAGTTTTGATGCTAACATGTCAATCATGATGGTTGTGTAAGATTGGCCTTCAGCACAGCCAGTTATACATGTGCATTGTTGTGACCATGGCCTTGACTGTTGTCTGGTTTTTGCTGAATTTTGTGTAAAGATGTATCTCAATTTTGGTTATATATTCCAGAAACATTTTGATAAGCTACAGAACCTTTTGGCTGTATTTTTCAGAAACACCACCTTCATGACTAGTTGAAAAAAACCCAATATTTATAGCAGTAAGGGCAAGTAGACATCTGCAAGGTGTTCAGATTTTTTATCACATCATGAAGTAATCATTCTATTGGTCTGGCCAAAGACACAATGTTGCCAACAGAGTACTTAGTGAAATGATTATTACATTATATCTATATAGTGCTATAGTCCATCCCATCTAGATGCATGCTCAATATGATGTTTGTGTTGAATTATGTATGAGCTTCAGCACAAACTGTGGCGTTTGTGAAATAGTACCCGTGATATTTTTCTTCTCTTGGATTCAACATGACAGTGCTATACATGCTTTGTATGTTACATTCCTCCCTTTATCTTTTTGTACTCCCGTTACATAGCTCAGTTCTGCTGAGTGTAGTTCATTCAAGATTATTACAGAATATCCTTTTTTCACATTTAGTTGTTAGGTTATCCTGGCCTCAAAGGACATCATAGCAGAGTCATCATGAATAAACATTTTAAACTTTGTTACTTCTTCTGATGAAGTAGTGTATTCATTTACCTTAAAGTTTGTATTTATGTTTGTACAAGACATCAAAATTGGTGGCTAAGTAGCCATGTTTGATATTTAAAAAATCTACATCAAATGTTTTGAGATTCTGAGGTGTAAAACTTGGGGAATGAGATGATGACTTTGTATTTTCAATTTTGTTAATAGAATTTTAATCACAAATCAGATTTAGCTGCCATCAGCCATTTTAAAAAGCGCTGAAAATGATGCGTCTGGTTTCATGGTTTGTTATGAGTTGTTTTGTTGTTGGTTTGTCAAGTGACAAGGTATATGAAATATATACAACTTTGTTTGGTCCACTGATGTCCATGTGATATACGGAAATTACATATGATGCTCGTAATGTTTCCTTTGTGTGGATTTGATGGGACTTTAGAAAATTGTGGCTGATTACCTGAATGTTAACAGAAAGCAGATCTGTATTTTATTGCAGTGAAAGGTCAAGGTGATTATATTTTTGGTCCTCTATGTGATACTATCACAGAAAGTGTCTATTTATGTCCCATTCATGCTTCTATTGACTGGTTATGGTTGCTGTGTGATGTACAGTGTCAAAGGTACAAGTGCTTGTTTACACTGTGGCTTCTAATGGTGGCAGTTATGAACTACAAGCATGCCATTAAATTGGATATGTTGTAATGTCTCCAAAGAAATGCTTTGTACAACACTGCTTTTGCTTCAATAAACTACTCTAGAAGAAACTGTTTGTGAATGTTATTTTTCCTGATCATTATCAGGTCTACTTTATTTTCGAATGAACCTAGCTGAACACCTCTTCATACCTGTCACGTGCATAGCTGACCTGCATTGACGAACGTTGACCTTTATGACCCAACACTGCCACTGTTACAGGTCATTGGCTCCCTCCCTCTGCAAGCAGTTTCTGTTCTGCTGTTTATTTTGTTGACAGTTACATAGACAGATTCTTTAATACAAATGCATAAAATCGGTGATTTACAATGTGATTAGGTTGTCTGACAAAACATCCACTTGCACAGTTTGAGATCGATTGGGTCATTGGATGAAGAGATATTTA